TGGCCTGGGTGGCTGTGCGTTGGGCTGGGATTCTTGTCGGTTGCTGGGAGCGTGCCTGCTCCCTCTGGCTCTGCTGCAGGTGCACGCAGGTCTCTCTCGCACGGGCTTCTACCGGACTCCTCTGGCTTTACTGCCGCTGGTGCGCACGAGCCGCGCCCAGGCTGTTTGGTTGCGCCACTGCAGGCTCGCACAAGACTCTCTTGATCCCATCTGGTGCTGCTGGCACACGGATCTGCTCCCAGTCCCTTCAGGCGCTGTCATCCCCGGCATGTGCAGCCACTCTCCCGCTGCTGGGTCGGTGTGTCAGGGTCTGCGCCAGTTGGAGGAATGCCTGGCAGGCTGCTTAGTGCTGTGAGGGGCTTCAGAGCTGTGCTGCCTCCCCGGGGTTTAGGGCGCCTAAGTTTCCCCGGGATTCCCAGCTGCTGGCTAGTGTGCCGCGACAACTTCATCCAGCTATGAGGTCCCTGTCTCTTTAAGACTTGCAGAAAGCACTCGCTTTTCTTTTGTCTCAGGGGCACCAGTTGCGGGGACCTGCCCACAGGTTTTGATTTTCCGTTTCTCTAATATCCAGCACCCCGTGCACCTTATGTCTGCGTTCCGGGTGTGGATTTCTAGGGCTGGTTGTTTAACAGTTGTGGGCTTTCACTCCCTCCCCGTTCTGACTTCTTTCTTCCCGCCAGGTTTTGGAGTCGGGGAGCATTTGGGTCCCGCCTGGCTGAGGCTTGTATCTTACCTCCTTTATGTGATGTTGAGTTCTCACAAATATAGATGTATCCTGGCTATTGTACTGCATCACTAGTGTCTCTTTTAGGAATAGTTGTATTTATTGTATTTTCATAAATAGATATGTTTTGGGGAGGAGATTTCCTCTGAACTACTCACGCTGCCATCTTCCCGTGATCCCCGACACTTAGCTTTTTATCCATGTTTTGGTTATTGTAAATAAGGAGGTATGAACAAGGGAGTATGAGGTTTTTTAAATTGCTCCCTTTATCTGGAAAATTTGTAGCTGCCTTAGAAAAAGACCCTCTCTTCTGGAGTTTACATGCTAATGGAAGCAGACAAAGAGTAAATTCCTAAACAATTCATAATTTCTGACCATGACAAATCTTAAAAAGGAAACTGTGATGGAATAGAGTGATGAGACAGCAGCTGGCTTGACTCCTTAGAGCAGGCAGCTAACAGAAGGGCTCTCTCAGGAAAGGATCTCAAGTTTATGAACCTATGTGAAGCCCTGAGGGCATCCACACAGAGGATGGCCAGCTGAGGGTAAGAAGCCAGCCTGAGCCAGTAAGGATGGCCTCTGGCAAATGGTGTGTTTACAGACCTTCAGGACGGAGACAGTTTGGACACAAAAAGGTATTTAGTGTGACTGGAACATCCTGAGTTAGTTATGGGTCCCAGAAGCACATAGGGGTCAGATCCTGTAGTGTTTTAATTATGAATGACAAGGAGTGTCTAGTTTATTTTTTTTTTTCATTTTATCATTTTATTTTATTTTTAAAAAATTTTTCTTAAGGTATGATTGGTATACTTTTCAAGGTTTCACATGAAAAAAGCAATGTGGTTACTATATTTACCCATATTATCAAGTCCCCACCCATACCCCAATGCAGTCATTGTCCATCAGAGAAGCAACATGCTCTAGTTTATTAGAATAGGAATCTCTGAAAGGTTTTAAGAAATGAGATAATGCCAGTTAGTATGGCATTGCCTAAGTGGAATAATGTGATTTGTTTTTAAAAGATCAACTTTAGCATTGAAGGGTAAAGAGGATCATGTGGGCAACTTACTCTCAAAATTTGATGAGAAACTTATTTACATAGTTTGATTATCTCCCCACAAGACAAAATTATAAAGGAGGAAACCTGGAAGACACTACCTGGCTCAGTGGCCAAGGTGAGCCTCACCATTAAAGTGTCATGTTTAACGGCGCTTCTTGGTTAGATGACTGAGACACAGCCAACACTATGGGCAGCTCCTCAAAAATGATGCTTGGAATCTACTCATAGATATCAAACCTGAACTAAGAGGCATTTTACAAAAGAACTGGCCTGCACTCTTTAAACTGAGAAAAAACATGAACGTTCCAGACTAAAGCAGACGAGACATGGTGAGAAATCTGTAATCCTGCAAAGGAATGTTTTCACTTTTACTATGAACAGTATTGACAATTGATGAAATTGGAATGTCTGTAGATTTAAGTTTGTTATGAAATTATGGTTATATAAAGCAATGTCATTGTTTTTATGGTATACATATATTTTAGCAAGTACCTAGAAGGGGCATCCTGTCTGTAATTTACTCTCAAATTATAAAAAAATTAGAGAGAATGATAAAAGCCGACTTGAGAAGTTGACATTAAAGAAATTTGAGTGAAGAGTATATGGGAGTTATTATAATTTTTGTATAAGAATGAAATTTCAGCAAGTTTTAAAAATTGAAGCAGAGGTATTTTAAAAAATTACCTTAGATTTATTAAGTAGTAGCACTTTCTTATTTCCTAGCATAATGCCAACATTGTCTTTAAATTCTGGGTTTCTTTATTCTTCTTGCTAATACTTGACTCCTTTGGATTGAGTTGGTTATATTTATGATGGGTAGTGGAAGAATGACACATGTATATTTGTGAAAATCAAATAAAACCATTCTAAGCAAGTCTTGGTATCTTACAGGATCAAAATCAGAGGGAAACTCCAAATGGAGTTACTTATATTGTAATGTTATTATTTTAATATATATCCTTAAGAATTAAGCCAAAATTGTATTGTCCCAGTAAGAAAAAACCCACTCTCCTAACTGTTCGCAGTAACAATCCCCACTGAGCACTTACTGGGTGTTAGTCCTAAGCAGTGCCACTAGGAGTGGCTGGTGAGCTGGGGCAGCCCACACCTGTGCTCACAAACACCTGTCCAAGTGCAGAAGATACTCTTCAGCCCAAGGTCTTGGCTCTCAGCCTCTCTTGCCCCAATACTCCTGAGGGGTACCAGGCACACCAACTGACTCTTGGGGAACGCCCTTTAAGGGAGCATCTGCCAGAATACAGGGAAAGAGCTCTAATTTCAACACATCCTCCTATTCTACTCCACATTCTAAGTTTCACTGATTTCAACGGTGCTGTGGTAACTTTTACATCCTCTCTCCCTTCATGGAATCAGTGCTATCAACAAACAAATCAATGCTTCATGCAATCGATAGCATCAACCAGGCACTGCCAAGAGGGTGTTGGTCACCACTTTCAGACCCGCAGGCCATTAGGCAAGCTACATGTGAGAAGTTAACTCATCAAATTCAATAAACTTAGATTCACAAGGGAACCTGCCCGCACCAGGACACATTTTCACTAAACTGAAATTCTAATTGAGCTATATACATTTCATTTATAATTTTATGTAACTTCCATCTAGGTACTGAAGTGCAAGGTTTAGAAACACATAACCTTCAGGGAAAAGAACACCTTAGCAAGTGTGTACTGAGTATCCACTATTTCCCGAGCAGTTTCAGGTACCATGCAAACTGTATAAAGGAACCAGCTCTAGAACCCTGACATTGTGTTCTAGCCAACTAGTGACTGCCAGTGTTTGCTCTTTATGACTTTATAATTGCACAGGCTTTTTCTATGGTCTTCTTCAGTATGCAACTTAGGGTAAAGTTGAGGGTGCTTTCTGTGGTCAGAGAACATGATTCCCAATTACTTTTAGGTAACTTTACCTCACAAATCCCTACATAATTTGTGTAATATCTATAGTGTAAATGTGTGTGCTTTTACACAGCTTGACAGTGGCAAGCTCAAAAACAGTCTAAGAGCCAGCTATCTTTGAGTAACTCTAGCCCTGTGAATAAAATTTATTTTGTCTGCAAAACATGGCATCACAAGAACACAGTTCAACAAACTTCTCTTCAATGGGACATTTATAAAGTATGCACCATGTGACAGGACCCAGGGACCCTGCATGATTCTGGAGGCGTACACAGTGCATTCGAAAGCACTGAACAGTTAAGCATCTGTGTTATAGCCCGAGTGCTGAAAGTTAAGTTCTAAAGACAGACTCTACTGTTTTTAATTTCATCTCCATATCCTGCTTTGGGTCATGTGAGATGAGACTTCTTGCTTCCCTCATCCATAAAAAGTAAAGTACTGATCCTATGCAGTGAGCTCACTGAGGAAAGCTCTCTAGTGAAGCCAGCTGGTGGGCAGCTAGCCTTGCACCCTCTGATGCCCCCGCCTAACCAGCACCTCCCTCAAAATGTCAGGTGTTTTGCAAACCTGCCAGGGACAGTACAGGTAAGAATGGCAACTCAGGAAATGAGTATGGTTGGATGACATCTAAATGTCATTCTGATGTTAACATTCTAATGCTATTCATTTTCTATGGATACTTTATTAATGATGGTAGCCTCTTAAATTATAAAAAAAAGGCTTAACTCATATAATGACAATGTTTCAGAAATTTTTTATTACAGTAGTATTTCCATATAAGATTACAGCTGTGGCAGTTTTATAAGAATAATGACTGCTAAGATTGAAATAATTTTTGAATAAAATGAAACCCATTATAGTATAGGGAATTTCTTTTATGATTCATCAAGTACTTACAATCATGAATTTTCATGAATATAATCTTCATTAATGCTTTTTTTTGATGAAAAAGAATGCCAGATAACCAAATACTATTTATTCTATCATTTATTTAATAGGAAGAAATTTTATTTATCAGCATAAAGTAGTAGAGATTAACCTAGAACTTAATCATTTCTAACCACCCATTTTTTATCCAGTAGTCATGAGAACAAGCCTCTAGGAGAAATGATACTTGAGAATAAGAAAGGCCCTCATCTTTCACTACCTCCCACTGACTGATATACCCTGGCTAAGTCTTATCTCCTATTACAGAAACCTCAAGCACTTGGGACATTGCCATTAGAAAGGATGAACAAAAGCCATGACCCAGACTGGCATCTCCAAAAAGACCGACACCTGCTTATCTGTGTATAAACACAGATAAAGAGCCTCGGTGCTAAAGTAATGGCACTTGAGGAAAACAATTTCTACTGTGTATGTCTGTAAACTGACACAGAACTTTTACTTAAAATAAAAAAATAAAAACACACGCTTCAGTATGAAAATTGAACCCAGGTTAGGAAATTTTCAACTCTATCTCCACTGACAGCAGCAGCAGGTGACCAGCCTGGGCGCCACACCACACAGATATGCAAGCACGTGCCATGCACAGGGCAAGTGTGCAAAACATAGCACTGCTCAGGGCTTCAGAGCAGGCGGACGGTTTTTCCAGTTACTGTCAAGAAGTCATCATCAGCCAAGACACGGAGGGCTTCTTCAAACATATCTTTGGTAATTGCCTTTGGGGAAGAGATGAAAACGAAACTTTACATGGCACGTACTCCTTTACCTGATGAAGGTACAGTGATTTCAACAGTAAAGAGCCACCAGCCTCTCCTTTTTTGGTGGTTGTACTTCCTATGCTCTGACTCAGGAGTGGCAAACACTTCCTATAAAGTGCCAGAGGATGAGGGCTGCAGGTGGCTTGAAGTCCAAAGGTCTGTCACAACTACCACACACTGCCCTATTGTGCCAACATAGCCTAGAAAACACATCACATGCAGAGTGTATGACGGTGGGCCAAAGGGCCGGATTTGGCCAGTGAAGTTCTTCTCCCTAAACAACTCCACTTCACTTACTCACAACAAGGAACCTGAGTATCTCATCCCTGAAACAAATTTATATAAACAAACTTGATAGTTACTGCAAACATCCTAAATGTCCACCAACTGGTTCAGTAAGTGATGGAATATGGGTACAACAGAATGTTTCCCAAGCCTTATGTCATGAAGTTCATTTACCATCACAGATGATTTAGTATTGTTCATCAAAAAGAAAACAAACAGCAAGTTAAAAAATGGCGACTACAGATGGCTATTCATTTTTCAAAGACCGTATGTGTAACCGTAACACACAGAAAGTTACGAGGAGTTTAACAAAATTTGCATTCTAACGTTTTTTGATGATGTATTTATGGGTGACCTTACTTTTTCTTCTTTATTCTTATCTATACTTATTACTTAGACAATAAATGAAGAAAAAAAAAAGAAAACCTTGAAAGCAGTCTAAAGGGAAGAAAGAAAAACTCTATAAATTAAAAAAAATATATGTAAACACTTACTATGTCAGATTGTCCCCGAATATCTTCAAAAAGTTGTTGGTATTTCAGAGCTGGTGTTTTGCCCTTAGATAAAATAAGTTTTTTCAACGCTTCAGCTAATTCTTCTTTCCGTTTACGAGAGGTGGCACTCATTCCTAATTTAAAAGAAATTAACAAAAATGTTTATGCTATAAGCAAGTGAAATACTTCAAATTTCTGTTAAGTATCTCTAAAGTAGTGTCACCAGAAGTCAGGGTACGGTGGCTGAATGCCAAAATTTTCAAAATCATGAGTTCTCAATCCTTTGCTGTTTCTAATTTTCTATAAGTCAATAGCTGTTACTTTCTACTGAAGCATCATCTATATAACCTGTATATGAGTAGTTGCTGCTCGGTAAGAAAGGAATTACTTTAAAATGGGTTAATACGGTGGCCTAGACAGAAAAGATTAAATTCCTTTCAAAATTAGATACAATACTGTGTGTATGTGCATACATGAGTATTCTTCTCACAACTTTTTTCAGATTCTCAGCGGCTCTAATCCAAAAAAGGCTAAAAACCTCCATTTCACATGCTGTAATCATGAGCTCAATTATGAAATATCAATTACATATATATCTAATAACTTTCATGTGCTTTTATGTTCAATGCAAGTAACAAACCTGTGGTAAGAATGGCTATGTCCACGATGCCAGTCCGGGGGTCCGTTGCAGACTGCTTTAGGGCCTCCCGATGGAGGCGTTTTGCCTCTTCAACATCAATTGCTTCAACTTTGTTTGAAAACCGTACTTTTGCATGGGCTTCTGCTAAGCGAATTAATGATTCCAGCTGTCGAGGGTATGCAGAAACCATTCCTCGGCTACTACCAATCTTCCTCATGTCTACATAAGCCTAGTGGGAAATAAACCCAACAGTAACAAAAACCTCAGTTTTGTGGGTGAACTTTGAATAGCCAGAATTTTGTTAAATAAACCAAACTCCTGCAGGGCTGCCGTGTGTAGGTACAAAGGAGAATTACAAGCCAGACCTAGCCCTGGGTCTGAAGTCATCAAGGTATATCTGATGTAGCTTTGAAGAACAGGAATGCAAGTGAAGGTGTGTGAGGCTTGGCACCCAGGGGACACAGTGTGTGCGGTTAGGGGCGGGATGCCGTGACTGCACAGCACTCGTCTGAAAAGATGCTCAGGCTTGCTCTGCTTTACAACCCCCACCGAGGAGTCATTTAATGAGCAATGCACAGGATTACCAGGATACCGAAGGTAAGCTGTATTAAACTTAATATAAAGATGCCATTATTTTATTTCTTTTCAAACTCTCAAGAATAAGATACAAATGGAAAACTACATACCATTTGTAACTTTTATTTGCATACTTTTGGGGGCTTAGTTAGGATGTAATCATAAAGCCCATCAAAGCTCCAGGAACCTTCCCAGTATATCACAGTGTTGGAACAACTAGCAAGTGTCATTGGATACTGCGGCCCATGTAAAAGGATACTGAAAAGAGAATATAAGTACTTGCAATTCACTTTATTTTTTAGAAATTAGCAAGTGGAAGCTCAGAGAAATTGGATGACATGTCCAGAGTCACAAAGTTACCAAGTAGCATCATCTATATTTCAGCTCAGGTATTGATATTAAACTCACTGTGCTTCTAAGTATTTGAATATAAAAAGAGTATGTACAATGTACATAAGTCAATCTTTTTTTTCCCTTTTGTTTACATTTGGAAAAGTCAATTTGCAACATAGAAAACAGGTATAGAAAAATTTGTTATTTTTAACAAAGTAATTCATGTTTTGAAGGGAATAACCAGCTCATCCTATTAATGTTTTTGGCTACAGGCTCAGCAAAATCTTTTTAGGCTTTAACGATGGATGTGTTACCTCGATGAGAGCCTGGCTGGCTTCCTGGCTCAGCCGGGGCATGACTGTGCTGTGGGCGTAAGCGATGTAGTCCTTCAGCACTGCCATGTCCATGAACTCCTCTGCCTCCTGCTCCTCACTGCGGTAGTACAGAGCCACTAGGTGGTGAGCCAAACGCCTGTCATAGGCTTCGTCCTGAGGGTCCAGCATGAGGAATATCAAATCAAACCTGAGAAGACATTGGAAAGGCACTGTTTTTCCTGGATGGGAACACCACATACCTACAAACGTAATTTTAAAATTACTCTTGAGCCACCCAGGCATGCACAGTAGACATGTGTTTGGTGGGGCTGTCTTGGGAAAAGGGCCTTCAGATCTGTGCACTTCACCCTGTTCTGTTCCCAGCAGGTGCCTGCTTTCCTGGCCCTGAGGAAAGGCTGGTCACAAGAAGTGAGATACTCCTGAGGGAAGTGTTACCATAATTTTGAAGACTAGATTTAAATGAAAACACAATTATTCTGGGGGAGAAAGAACTATTTGGTTAAAAAAAGTCAAGTAATTAAAATCAAAAATCCTTTTAAGAATGACATTAGTATTTGGAGTAGGGGGTGAGAAAATGTGTGGATTATATGGCTACACTTTAGCACACTAGAACTCATCTACTATCTGAAGCTGTTTCCTGCATGCACTGTTGATTCTCTATGTCATCTTTAAGACTAAGATTAAAGTTGTGAACAATAGGCTTCTGAAAAGGATGTCAAGGTGAGATGTCCTAATTGCTTCAAAAAATGAATTAAGGCACTACCCACTGTTGATTGAAATAGCATATAGTCCTTGCCCTGAAAACCCTTGAACAAATTGAAAACTTTTACATCAGTGATGAGTTTATCACATAAGCAGTTGCTGAACTTTAGTATTTCCTTTATCACATAAGCAGTTGCTGAACTTTAGTATTTCCTTTTCTTAATTTCACCCTGAAAATTCTACAAATGGAGCCAGGTTAGGTCTCTTTTACAAAAATGTTTTTATACCTTGATAATAATGTGTGAGGGAGCTGGATATTTTCAATGGTGGTTTTTCTAGGATTCCACTGAGACTCAATTGGATTTGCAGCTGCCAGGACAGAGGTGCGTGCATTGAGCTGACAGATAATCCCAGCCTATGAAAGAAACAGTGCCGTTAGAGGCCCCACCCCAACACTGACACCCCAACACATTGCTAGAGGGCAAGTTATCCTCACACGTGTCCTCTACCATATGTCCACTGTCACTCAGAGCCACGTCACCTTGGAAAGTGTCCTGTCCTCAAATTCATGCCAAGAGCCAAGTTTTAAATGTATGTACACCAATACATCTTTCTCAGAAACTAAATTCCATGCATGAGACTTACAACAAACTCAAGTTCTATGACTACCACATCACAGCAGGTTACTACAGCAAAAAAGATGAAAGAATTCTGGAGAAAACACTCAGTATTAGCTATAATCTAGTGAGAAAAGTTATTTACCAGTTTCCCTAAGTTAGAACCAAGGTTAACACTGTGTGGTCCACAGATCTGTATTTCAAGTACTCATGTTTATGAACAGAGAATGGGACTCACCTTGGCTATAGAAAGAGTCTGCTGTTCCATGACTTCATGCAATACTGATCTTGTACTTTCATTCATCTTGTCGAACTCATCAATACAGCAGATACCATTGTCACTCAGGACAAGGGCACCGGTCTGCAGGACGAGCTGCCTCGTCTCAGGGTCTTTCATTACATAGGCAGTGAGGCCAACAGCACTGGAGCCCTTCCCGGATGTGTACTGGCCCCTGGGGACCAGGTTGTACACGTACTGCAGCAGCTGGGACTTGCTAGTTCCAGGGTCACCACACAGCAGGATGTTGATCTCAGCACGAAATTTGCCCCTTCCTGTGTGGCTAAAATCCTTTCTTGTTCCACTGAAGAGCTGAAGCAAGATTCCCTAAACAAATAAACAAACAAGTAAACTACGTCTAAACATTCATTTACTATAGAATAACTGAGGTACAGCTTAAACATGAGAGGTACTTTTCTACTCTGTTAATAAAGAAGTCAAAGGAAGGTAGAAAAAATGTTAACAATGCTATAAGTTACTACTAAGCAAATTATTCGTAAGCATATAATTCCATCAGGCCAGAACGGGAGCCCTGTAAATCCCTATTCTGACCTGACTCCGTGCGGCTTTTCTTAAGTTTAGAAACATTTAAGTTTGTTGTAGAGTTGAGGTAAAACAATGATGCTGTGGTTCTTGTCAACCAATAACCAGGTCAGGCTGTGAGTGCCTTGCTCTGCCTGACAGGCAGCAGCCCTTATTCTTTATTGGGGAGAGCAGGGGGAAAGGATGTTTATATCATTTGATCCCAAAGAACCATAAATTCCAGCCACATGTTACAAATCCATTGTTACCTTCTTTATATCTTCATGTTCATAAATGCTGGGAGCCAAGGCTGAAGCAAGTCTCTCATAAATATCTGGTTTTCTGGAAAGTTCCTTAAGCAATTCCACACGCTTCTCTGAAAAAAGTTTCTGTTCTGCTTCTTCATCAAGACCATGCAGACGTTTTGCGTCGGTTTTCCGATAGTGAATGACATCAATGTGGGTTTTGTAGACAGATTTCACGTTACTCACTCTTGGATTCACTCGAATTGGAACAGCTCGATAGATGCCTGAGGGCACAAACACAAAGCACTTTACCTCCCACTATCCAGCTCACTCAGCCAGCGCAGACCACAGGCAGTGCAGAGAGCTGAGCGCTGGGCCTGGAGGAGGCAAGCTTCCCAGCACACTGCCTGCACGGCCTTCCCAGAACTCAGGACTCAGGCATACCCTGCAAAGCTTCTGCCTAACAGGGCAGGGCAAGAGGAAAGAACACAGATCTCTGAAAAAGGCAGACCTAAAAACACGTTCCTCTGTGAGCACTCATCAGCTATGGCTTTGCGCACCCACATGAACATAACCACGGCACATAACCATTCTGAGGTTTAAATGAAATTGCTTTGCTTCTAGCACAGCACATGGTTATATTCAATGAACAGTATTCAATTAACAGTACTTTCACTTTTAAGCTGAGTGTACAGAATGTTAATAATTATTGGACTGGAAAAAAACACTATGATCTGGTACCAAAAACTTGGGTGAGTGGCCACACCCTACCCTGCTTCGTAAAGAGAATTTGTGAGCATTAAAAGAAGCAGATGAACCTTTCAACCTTACCAACTCATCCATTCTCTATGAAGAAAAGCTTCTAAGACTGATACGTCTGATGTTTATCTTTTTTGAAGTCCAAACTTGAAGGATTGAACTCCAGGACAAATGTTTCCTGCTGCTTTGAGAAAACACTGGATTTCTCTCAGCCTTCACAACAGGCTGCCACAGATCACCTGTCATTCTGTTTATTAACAGGTCACTGAAGTCTTTTTTATGATTATAAAAAATGGTTTCTATGTAACATTTTCAGATTGTACACTATTCTTCACCCCAAGACAGATGAGGCATGGATGACTGTTTCTTGGGATAAAGGGGCTGGCTATCTCTGCTGGTGTGCACCACAATTCATCTCTTCACAGAACTGCACTGATGGCACTCGCTTCGTATCTACATGGTGCTTCCCACAGCCCCCAAATGCTTTCCCACATATCCTCACATTAATTCCACTTCGCCATGAAGAAATTAAAACATTGGATTAAATACTTTATCAGAGGTTTCAGAGCAGTAGGGTGGCAAAACTAGGATTGAAGGATGACATTCATTCCCATTTGGAACTACTACAAGTACTTTTACTACGTGAGTGCTGGTGACAACTGCTGGGCTCCTTCTCAGGGGACTGGGCGTGGCCGGGCTCACAGAGCAGGGCAGGTGAATACCTCAGGAGCACAGCCCCTCGGCCCCAGCAGAGGCCTGAGCCTGCCACAAACACAAATCCCCAGTACTGAGAGGCCAAGTGAAACGGCGCCACACTACCCAGTGGGACTGGGAGAAAGACTGGCAGCTGGGTGCAGTGAGAAGAGCCCCAGGGCAGCAAGAGAGGAGGAGTCCTGGTGCCACTCATTACCACAGGCTCTTAGCACAGTGATCTACACATCTGAGTCTCATCCTCCTCAGCTCTAAAAATACTACAGTGAAATCCTGCAGTGTAAGTAAGGTGCTCTGACTCATTCTTCCCTAAATAAATATATTTTAACCCTTAGCTGTGTATTTGGGAAATAAGGAAATTATTAAAAATTCCAGAGCTGGCCAAGCGCTGATTCCTTGAGTGGTTGGCATAGTGCAACACCTACCACCACCCTCGTTTGAAGCTTTCTCCAGACATCGACACTCTCAAGTCAAGATACACACGTAGCTTGGGACGCTGAGACAAGGCAAGTGACTGCAGGGGGTGCACACTGGAGGGTTCCATCTGGCTAAAAAGAGCGTGATTGAAGCAGCACACCCCACCATCTCCAGACCTGAAGGACAGCGGAGGCAGGACTGAGCCCTAGGACAATGAATTCCCAACTAGGCAAAGGAATAGAAAGTGTCACTAAAAGCCAGACAGACTTACTGCCATCAATACAACCTACATTCTTACCTGTAACATTCACTCTGTCCCCTGGTTGAACCTTGTCAACAAGATCATTGTGAGCAAACAGGATGACAGTGTGAGGTGTCTGTCCTGCAGGCATATCTTCAGGGGACTCCTGAAGCTTGATCTGAAAAAGGAGCAGTGCGAACAGAAAACTCAGGAAAGAGCATAATGGAGACAAAACTTTGTACCACTTACAGGCAACTGTTTTTGATACCTAGCATCTTTCTCTTTAAAACATCATTCTTTGTTTTAACCTCTGGATGGTTAAGTTTTTAGAAAAGCTTTTAATGTGGCATGGACACATGCTTTGTGAGAATGTTATTCATTTAAAAACTTCTATGAAGGGGAGGAGCAGCAGTTCACTTGACTGTTTTCCCACCATTTTAGAGACTGTAGTGGAGATCTCTGCATAAATGTTTCTCTACATTTCTAATTATTTTGGGGGATATTACTGCTAGCAGACATCCTGGGTGGAGCTGTTCATGGTCAAGCACTTCTGTGCATCTGTAACTGCCTGCAACTCACAAGTTCCTACCTATTCACCTGACTTGTATTTACTCACCTGATGGGCACCTGCTGAGCACAATGGCACAGGCTGAGCCCTATTCCAGGTGTTGGGGACTCTGAAGCAATCAGTTTCTTCCCCCAGATTGGAGGGGGGACAGATAATACACAAAAGCATTGCACAGAAGAAAAAAAGCAAGGATCACAGGCAGTGGGTTGGAGATGCTTTCCATAAAGGTTAGGAAGGGTCCTTCTCAAATCAGGTGACCTCTGGGCAGAGGTCTAAGGATATTAGGAGGGACACAACGTTCTTAATGAAAAGAACAGCAAGTGCAAAGGTCCTGAGGCAGGCCAGTGCTTGGCTGAGCTGTGAATAAGGAAATGGCTGACATAACATCAGTGAGGCCTGTGGGTACAAGGGGGTGCTGTGGGGTGACACTTGGCCATGTAGACTTGAAGGCTACTTTAAGATACTAGGTTTTACTTAAGTCAGTTGGGAGTCTTTGAAGCATTCCAAGACTACTACACCAATGAGCTCCTTGGAAGCAGGGCACCCACCTCTCCATCTCCATCGCCTAGCAATGTGCTGGCATGAGTTGAGGTACATTTGCCCCAGTAATTTATACCAATAGCAGATAAAAATTTATATCTTAATTTTCAGTTTTTTTGGTTAGTAAAGAAGTTGAGCACTTTTCCACATTTGCTAGTAATTTTCTTACTGACTTCCTGTCAGTAAGTATTCTGAACACATTCTCTCTACTTAGCATTAAAAAACTGTTAAAACATTGTAACAATAAAAACTCAAGACCTTGTGCATACTTTTTACACCACTACAATCATGGTAAATAAATGATTTCCTTTTACCACTTACTTCTGTCATTTTAGTAACTTTATCTTTTAAGATTTTCATGATTGAAGACATAAAAGACCAAGCTTCCTATAAAGTTTGCGAGGAAAACTTAGAAAAATTTCTCAGCCTATTCTATACCAGTGAGACAGTTGCAAAATGACACAATTTAATCAAGTAATTTTCACTGATTTTAAATCTTTGATCTGACATATATGAAAAATTTTTTTAACAATCTTAATTACTTCCCATAGAAGTATCTGATGTTAAATTTAATAGATGAAAAAGTAGGCTAGTTTCATCTGTTAAATTACAAATGACATTAAACTTAAGATGTTTATAGTGGAAGAATGCATTTTCTTCTCATTATGAAGTACTTCAGGCTGAGAACAGAGTATATAATAAAGAGGCGGAGCTCACTGGTAATAAAAACAGGGACACTGCTATCCCTAAGCTGAAGTGCTGCAAATGCCAAACCAACATCCTGCTAACAAAACCTACATCATCAGAGAAGGAGCTGAATGCCGTTTAGGAAGCAAGGCTTCAGGGCCTTCCTAGCAGGCAGGTTTGGCTTTTGAGAATCTAGACAGATGTAGAATGGAGGCAAGATATATGCTAAAGGGTTGGTGGCGCATGGGTCAGAAGGCCACGTACCATCTGCTTGTCGGAGAACATGGAGCGGTTGTGGATCAGCGCCATGCTGTGGGCAGTGCGGCAGCGATCACACACACAGGGCTCAGCAATGCGGCCACGGTCTATCTCCACCCGGGCCGTGTGGGCGCACAGCTGGCATTGGAAGAAGGCCTCCTGCATCTCCGGAATCAGCTGGGATGTCCTGATCACCATGCCACTGATAGCGATGAGCTGGTCGATGTCTGCAAAGGGAGGGAGGCTGGCTCGCCCACCAGGCCAATGTCCCCAGCCCAGCCAATGTGTCCCTTAGCTGGCCCCTGTCAGGGCAGGTTTGGGCCTGCCACCAAGTCCAGAACAACACCGGGAGATGCAGAGGAACCAGGGATGGCAGAGGTCAAGGCAGGTGCATGTCCAGGTGCCCTCAGTCTGGCCTAGGATGCCCTTCCTGTGTCCAGTTTGCCTTCCTCCTGACCTTAATGGGTTCCTGGCTTCTTTCCTCAGGGCACTGTCCAATAGGCATCCCCACCTCGTTTCTCTCCTGCTCAGCTCCACTGTCTTGTTTCAGATCAGAAGCTCTGTGCTTTTGCCCTGTCCACAGCCTCCATTCACTCACTGTGCCACGTGCAGTCCTGCTCTGTATGTGAAAGCCAGACAGCTGGGCCTGAGTACCTATGTGACCCTGAGGACACTTAGCCTCTCTCTGCCCCATGGTCAGAATGGGACTAATGACAGTACATGCCTCACAAAGTTGAGACTAAGACGGGGCATACATCAAGCCTAATGAGAACAGTAGGCAGAGAATAAGCACTATAATTCAGGCAGTCATCACTATCTATAAGAAAACCCCTGTATAATTTCTCACTCTTGCTCATGGTTCCTCTAAAATTTGGACCCTTCCTGACGACTTTTTCCCCAACTAATTCCCACTGCTGGTTCCAAATGAGTTAGTTACTTGTGGTCTAAAAAACTTGGCCTGTAGTTAGCCACTGCCACCTTGTAGATGGCTCCATCCTTCCCCCTCCCAGTGCTGAGGCCTCTGCAATTCAGCCCCACCCTCCTACCTACTTACAAAGCTTCCTTGCTTTTTGACCAATCCTTCTTTTCCTTTAAATGCAACTTGTTAACAAGTTATATAAATAAAAGTTAAAAACCTTTGAAACCAGCGGACTACTTGGCAGTTCCCTGACTTCTAAAACTATGTAATCTCCAATCTTACCAATTATTTTTCACCTAGCAATGTTCTGCCTCTGGAAACCTCAATGCAGCTCCCCTACTTGCTCGTGTCCCCACCAGAACTGCCTAACAGAGAGATGAGGTCAGGAACCAATTTCATAAGAGAAAAAATACTACACTTCTTTAATCAAAAGCGAAGTCCAACATTTGTTCATATTTATGGCTGTCTTTTACTGAAATCTGTGTCTTTTCTCAGACACTGCCTTGTTTCAACAATTTGCCTACAGGGGTATTCATGAATTCTCAACAGCTTTTATACCTCAATCTTCAATGCATGGCAGATAATCACACACATGACATGGCAGGTAACTGTCTTGTACATCACTGTTCAGCTTAGGGTCCTGTCTCATGCCTGAGCTACTGATAAATTCTCCTAACCGAACTTCAACATACCTTATATACTAGACCCACTGTGAACTTCTCAGGAGTGGCAAAATCCTTCTCCTCAAAATTATCAATGGCAGTCTATTGACTTTGGAATAAAAGTCTGATGAAGTAGGAATTCAAAGCTCTTTGGGACCTCAGCCTTACAGCACCCCCACAAACATTTCCTCCCAACTCCCTGCTCCAGTACCACTTATTGTCCACATGTAGTCCTGTTTCCCTTCTGCTTATATCCCTTCCTTCTGCTAAGTGAATTCCTTCACATCTGCTGTCCAAGTGCTGAGAATAATCCAAATTTCTCTTTCCCCATGAAATCTTCCACTAGGTTCTATGCTCTCTTCCTCCCCCTGGGCTAAAAGGCATCTCCGCACTGTTTTTCTGTTATTCTACCTCTTTTTCTACTTACTTTCTAAACCAGATTTCTTTCTTAAGCTCCAGGCAGGGATCATAGCTTGTTATTTGTTTTCTACAGTGATTTCGACAAAGTGCCTACTATAAACCCTAAAATTATTATTTGGGAAAATTCACCTTAAGATAGAGAATTGTTGTCAATAGTGCGAAAATATTTTATATAATTTCAGTTAAGTTAGAAAAAGGTATGGTGAGTTCATAAATGTACAGAATAATCGACTCTGCTAATATTTTGCCAAGTTGTAATCTATTACCACCACTATCACCAATTCTTTCGATGAAGTAAGATATTGCTTTTTGTGTAAGGTATTTTCCTGCTATTCAAAATATTACCTTCTGGATTCAGGTTTCTCATATTCTTAGTCTTCAATGCATTGAATGGTCTTACTTGAATCTGATGTTCTAAGATAGAGTCAGGGTAACGGTCAAAGAAGATCTCATTGACGGCCATGTCAAAAGTTGGGATAACTTCCTATAAAAAATAAGTAAAAGGATGTTAAGCTGTGCTTGTATTCCTATCTTAGGCTTAAATGTATGAAACAAAGCATTTCATAGCAGCAAAGTATAAAACAAAGACACATGGCATAATCCTAAAGTGTTATCATGTATCATCATACACATTGTTTACAAAACTTTAGGCACACTGGACTAGCTCACCTCTGCACATTCTCATTTGGGTTAAATGTGATTACACGAGAGAGTGCCTTTGTGACATGCAGGTGTACCTCAGTAACACAAGTCTGAGCTCATACCTTCCATGTCTTACTTTTTCTCCATAATGAAATGATACCAAAATAGGTTTAAATCATAGCTATTTTTATCAAATTTGTTAACATTTGTTTCTTAATTCTCCAGATGAAGAAACAGCCTCTGGGAGCCTAAGTAACTCAAGTTTCAAGGTTACATAGCTATTAAGCAGCAAAATTAAGTCTGTCAAGTCTGCTTATCTCCAAAGCCTATAGCTAAAATCAACATAGCTGATAGTTGAAAAAGACTATAATATGGTTAATATATTGTTAGAGATGACAGAAGAGTATATGCATTTATAGAATATTTCCCTTTAAGATAATTTACTTAATCAAACCCAAGAAGTCATCAATTTTAAGATTCAGCATTATTGTTAAACTATCAAGAAACTGCCGATTAAACTATGACACGCCATTGACAGTAATACACATCCCAATTTCAGAAATGTTCAAGTGTGAAAAAATGTTCATCTTAAAGGAGATGAAACATGGTTTGCTTAAGTTTCTGTGCTTTGGAGGCACATTCTGTTAACCAGGGAAATTTTGCTGTCCAGAAACCTAGTTGATCTACATGTTTACTGTAATTCAAGAAGGTCAAAGCCAAGTTCTTACCTGTGGGTAGCAGATGAGCTGTCTGTATAGATTTTTTTTTAGAGACTGTAGTGGAGATCTCTGCATAAATGTTTCTCTACATTTCTAATTATTTTGGGGGATATTACTGCTAGCAGACATCCTGGGTGGAGCTGTTCATGGTCAAGCACTTCTGTGCATCTGTAACTGCCTGCAACTCACAAGTTCCTACCTATTCACCTGACTTGTATTTACTCACCTGATGGGCACCTGCTGAGCACAATGGCACAGGCTGAGCCCTATTCCAGGTGTTGGGGACTCTGAAGCAATCAGTTTCTTCCCCCAGATTGGAGGGGGGACAGATAATACACAAAAGCATTGCACAGAAGAAAAAAAGCAAGGATCACAGGCAGTGGGTTGGAGATGCTTTCCATAAAGGTTAGGAAGGGTCCTTCTCAAATCAGGTGACCTCTGGGCAGAGGTCTAAGGATATTAGGAGGGACACAACGTTCTTAATGAAAAGAACAGCAAGTGCAAAGGTCCTGAGGCAGGCCAGTGCTTGGCTGAGCTGTGAATAAGGAAATGGCTGACATAACATCAGTGAGGCCTGTGGGTACAAGGGGGTGCTGTGGGGTGACACTTGGCCATGTAGACTTGAAGGCTACTTTAAGATACTAGGTTTTACTTAAGTCAGTTGGGAGTCTTTGAAGCATTCCAAGACTACTACACCAATGAGCTCCTTGGAAGCAGGGCACCCACCTCTCCATCTCCATCGCCTAGCAATGTGCTGGCATGAGTTGAGGTACATTTGCCCCAGTAATTTATACCAATAGCAGATAAAAATTTATATCTTAATTTTCAGTTTTTTTGGTTAGTAAAGAAGTTGAGCACTTTTCCACATTTGCTAGTAATTTTCTTACTGACTTCCTGTCAGTAAGTATTCTGAACACATTCTCTCTACTTAGCATTAAAAAACTGTTAAAACATTGTAACAATAAAAACTCAAGACCTTGTGCATACTTTTTACACCACTACAATCATGGTAAATAAATGATTTCCTTTTACCACTTACTTCTGTCATTTTAGTAACTTTATCTTTTAAGATTTTCATGATTGAAGACATAAAAGACCAAGCTTCCTATAAAGTTTGCGAGGAAAACTTAGAAAAATTTCTCAGCCTATTCTATACCAGTGAGACAGTTGCAAAATGACACAATTTAATCAAGTAATTTTCACTGATTTTAAATCTTTGATCTGACATATATGAAAAATTTTTTTAACAATCTTAATTACTTCCCATAGAAGTATCTGATGTTAAATTTAATAGATGAAAAAGTAGGCTAGTTTCATCTGTTAAATTACAAATGACATTAAACTTAAGATGTTTATAGTGGAAGAATGCATTTTCTTCTCATTATGAAGTACTTCAGGCTGAGAACAGAGTATATAATAAAGAGGCGGAGCTCACTGGTAATAAAAACAGGGACACTGCTATCCCTAAGCTGAAGTGCTGCAAATGCCAAACCAACATCCTGCTAACAAAACCTACATCATCAGAGAAGGAGCTGAATGCCGTTTAGGAAGCAAGGCTTCAGGGCCTTCCTAGCAGGCAGGTTTGGCTTTTGAGAATCTAGACAGATGTAGAATGGAGGCAAGATATATGCTAAAGGGTTGGTGGCGCATGGGTCAGAAGGCCACGTACCATCTGCTTGTCGGAGAACATGGAGCGGTTGTGGATCAGCGCCATGCTGTGGGCAGTGCGGCAGCGATCACACACACAGGGCTCAGCAATGCGGCCACGGTCTATCTCCACCCGGGCCGTGTGGGCGCACAGCTGGCATTGGAAGAAGGCCTCCTGCATCTCCGGAATCAGCTGGGATGTCCTGATCACCATGCCACTGATAGCGATGAGCTGGTCGATGTCTGCAAAGGGAGGGAGGCTGGCTCGCCCACCAGGCCAATGTCCCCAGCCCAGCCAATGTGTCCCTTAGCTGGCCCCTGTCAGGGCAGGTTTGGGCCTGCCACCAAGTCCAGAACAACACCGGGAGATGCAGAGGAACCAGGGATGGCAGAGGTCAAGGCAGGTGCATGTCCAGGTGCCCTCAGTCTGGCCTAGGATGCCCTTCCTGTGTCCAGTTTGCCTTCCTCCTGACCTTAATGGGTTCCTGGCTTCTTTCCTCAGGGCACTGTCCAATAGGCATCCCCACCTCGTTTCTCTCCTGCTCAGCTCCACTGTCTTGTTTCAGATCAGAAGCTCTGTGCTTTTGCCCTGTCCACAGCCTCCATTCACTCACTGTGCCACGTGCAGTCCTGCTCTGTATGTGAAAGCCAGACAGCTGGGCCTGAGTACCTATGTGACCCTGAGGACACTTAGCCTCTCTCTGCCCCATGGTCAGAATGGGACTAATGACAGTACATGCCTCACAAAGTTGAGACTAAGACGGGGCATACATCAAGCCTAATGAGAACAGTAGGCAGAGAATAAGCACTATAATTCAGGCAGTCATCACTATCTATAAGAAAACCCCTGTATAATTTCTCACTCTTGCTCATGGTTCCTCTAAAATTTGGACCCTTCCTGACGACTTTTTCCCCAACTAATTCCCACTGCTGGTTCCAAATGAGTTAGTTACTTGTGGTCTAAAAAACTTGGCCTGTAGTTAGCCACTGCCACCTTGTAGATGGCTCCATCCTTCCCCCTCCCAGTGCTGAGGCCTCTGCAATTCAGCCCCACCCTCCTACCTACTTACAAAGCTTCCTTGCTTTTTGACCAATCCTTCTTTTCCTTTAAATGCAACTTGTTAACAAGTTATATAAATAAAAGTTAAAAACCTTTGAAACCAGCGGACTACTTGGCAGTTCCCTGACTTCTAAAACTATGTAATCTCCAATCTTACCAATTATTTTTCACCTAGCAATGTTCTGCCTCTGGAAACCTCAATGCAGCTCCCCTACTTGCTCGTGTCCCCACCAGAACTGCCTAACAGAGAGATGAGGTCAGGAACCAATTTCATAAGAGAAAAAATACTACACTTCTTTAATCAAAAGCGAAGTCCAACATTTGTTCATATTTATGGCTGTCTTTTACTGAAATCTGTGTCTTTTCTCAGACACTGCCTTGTTTCAACAATTTGCCTACAGGGGTATTCATGAATTCTCAACAGCTTTTATACCTCAATCTTCAATGCATGGCAGATAATCACACACATGACATGGCAGGTAACTGTCTTGTACATCACTGTTCAGCTTAGGGTCCTGTCTCATGCCTGAGCTACTGATAAATTCTCCTAACCGAACTTCAACATACCTTATATACTAGACCCACTGTGAACTTCTCAGGAGTGGCAAAATCCTTCTCCTCAAAATTATCAATGGCAGTCTATTGACTTTGGAATAAAAGTCTGATGAAGTAGGAATTCAAAGCTCTTTGGGACCTCAGCCTTACAGCACCCCCACAAACATTTCCTCCCAACTCCCTGCTCCAGTACCACTTATTGTCCACATGTAGTCCTGTTTCCCTTCTGCTTATATCCCTTCCTTCTGCTAAGTGAATTCCTTCACATCTGCTGTCCAAGTGCTGAGAATAATCCAAATTTCTCTTTCCCCATGAAATCTTCCACTAGGTTCTATGCTCTCTTCCTCCCCCTGGGCTAAAAGGCATCTCCGCACTGTTTTTCTGTTATTCTACCTCTTTTTCTACTTACTTTCTAAACCAGATTTCTTTCTTAAGCTCCAGGCAGGGATCATAGCTTGTTATTTGTTTTCTACAGTGATTTCGACAAAGTGCCTACTATAAACCCTAAAATTATTATTTGGGAAAATTCACCTTAAGATAGAGAATTGTTGTCAATAGTGCGAAAATATTTTATATAATTTCAGTTAAGTTAGAAAAAGGTATGGTGAGTTCATAAATGTACAGAATAATCGACTCTGCTAATATTTTGCCAAGTTGTAATCTATTACCACCACTATCACCAATTCTTTCGATGAAGTAAGATATTGCTTTTTGTGTAAGGTATTTTCCTGCTATTCAAAATATTACCTTCTGGATTCAGGTTTCTCATATTCTTAGTCTTCAATGCATTGAATGGTCTTACTTGAATCTGATGTTCTAAGATAGAGTCAGGGTAACGGTCAAAGAAGATCTCATTGACGGCCATGTCAAAAGTTGGGATAACTTCCTATAAAAAATAAGTAAAAGGATGTTAAGCTGTGCTTGTATTCCTATCTTAGGCTTAAATGTATGAAACAAAGCATTTCATAGCAGCAAAGTATAAAACAAAGACACATGGCATAATCCTAAAGTGTTATCATGTATCATCATACACATTGTTTACAAAACTTTAGGCACACTGGACTAGCTCACCTCTGCACATTCTCATTTGGGTTAAATGTGATTACACGAGAGAGTGCCTTTGTGACATGCAGGTGTACCTCAGTAACACAAGTCTGAGCTCATACCTTCCATGTCTTACTTTTTCTCCATAATGAAATGATACCAAAATAGGTTTAAATCATAGCTATTTTTATCAAATTTGTTAACATTTGTTTCTTAATTCTCCAGATGAAGAAACAGCCTCTGGGAGCCTAAGTAACTCAAGTTTCAAGGTTACATAGCTATTAAGCAGCAAAATTAAGTCTGTCAAGTCTGCTTATCTCCAAAGCCTATAGCTAAAATCAACATAGCTGATAGTTGAAAAAGACTATAATATGGTTAATATATTGTTAGAGATGACAGAAGAGTATATGCATTTATAGAATATTTCCCTTTAAGATAATTTACTTAATCAAACCCAAGAAGTCATCAATTTTAAGATTCAGCATTATTGTTAAACTATCAAGAAACTGCCGATTAAACTATGACACGCCATTGACAGTAATACACATACCAATTTCAGAAATGTTCAAGTGTGAAAAAATGTTCATCTTAAAGGAGATGAAACATGGTTTGCTTAAGTTTCTGTGCTTTGGAGGCACATTCTGTTAACCAGGGAAATTTTGCTGTCCAGAAACCTAGTTGATCTACATGTTTACTGTAATTCAAGAAGGTCAAAGCCAAGTTCTTACCTGTGGGTAGCAGATGAGCTGTCTGTATAGATTTTTGTCAAATGATTTTATGTGTTCACAGTTTATATCTAAAAATGGCTCCCCAATAACATTAATCTATAAGACAAAACAAACAAGTTATATTCTAGTTGTTTTAAAATGCATAATTTGCATTTATAAGTAAGAACATCTGATTACCTCCCCGAGTCGTTGCATGTACAGAGGTTCAGTAATATCTATGCCAACGTTTTCTTCTTCTTTGGCCAGTGGGTCAATAAAACGCTGAAGGAATCTCTTGATGTGGAGAGAAAAACCATTAAACTCAATGTATTAAATGAGCAACCATCAAAAAACAAAGTTTTAAGTAGGTCACTAACTGGAGGAAAACAAAAATACCTTTTCTTCTTAAAAACTAGAAAATCAACAATTCTAAATTACCTAAAACTCTGCCCCTAAGCATTATGGCTCCTTAGATATACGCTATAAACACTTTCTCTAGCATTTTCAGAGCCCTAAAGGCATGAATTTTAACACATATAGCTTACCTGAAAATTTTCTTTGCAGGTTGCCACATTTACATCTGTTCCCCAAATCACAAGTTTCTGGCCTAAAGTCTGTTCACTTGCCACTGTATCTTCTGCAGTGGGCTACACAGAAAAATATGACAATCATGTTAATGGGAAATTACCCATTTTATGTTCCCCAGTGATGCCAGCAGAAGACTGTACTGTATACTCACCCCATCTGACTGCAAATCCACCTGCAGGCCCTTGCGGGCAGACCCCAGATCAGGCCTCTGCCTCACTGGTGTGCCTCTAACACCACTCCTTGGAGTTCCCTCTATCCGAGAGCTGGGAGTGCCATATGTCAGTGGCGAGCTATCAAAGTCAAGAGGAACAGCTACAAAAATAAAATTTGAAATTCTACCGTTAAGTTTTGGTAGTGCACAAACCCTAAACTACAGGATAACATAAACAGATAACACGTGTTGATCTAAGTCATCTAACCGCAATTGCACACAGTGTTTATAAATCCTGTGGTGGAGAACTGTCTGAGGACTATTGAATGCCCTGTTAAAAGAAGCTGCGCCAAGTTTGTTTGCTCACTAAACTCTGAATGTATGATCCCTGTACTCTTGGGTGAACGCATCAGCTCGTGCACGGAGTTGCAACTACCCATCAACAAAGCAGCAAACCTGATGCACCATGTGCATAAACCACAGGATAACCCAGACCTGCACAAACATACCTGAGGAGGGCATCCTTGGAGGGCTGGAAAACAAAGGGTCGCGTGAGGTGGGGCTCTGCAACTCGGCCCCCGGGGAAGTGGGCATGGGCTGCAGCTCTCCGGTGGACGTGGAGTCCTCGCTCCGGCGCTTGTGAGAAGGGGAGGCCCTGGCATCCTCACCGCGAGCTGGGACACAAGAACAGAAAGGCGCCGTCACCCCTCTCTCTTCCCGATGTGCCTCTTGGGGCGGTCAGACTCGTTACTGGACATATATTACAACACCGCGCCGGCAGGCGGCGACGCCACGTTTGCCCGTACTGGTGTGGCACCGGCCGGCGCGGCGGATACCGTCGCCGCACGCCCAGTCTCCGGAACGGTGGGAAAAGCGGGCGGGACCGTACGGCCCACCCGCCGGCCGAGGCACTTACGCGTCTGCGCTGGGGTCGCCCGCCCGCGCCGGCTTCCGCGGCGGCTCGGGGTCGATGCCGGGGACGACATGGTGCTCTGGAACGTGCGCCACAAAACACCAGCTAGCTCTGCCCCAAGCACTCACAGCCCGCTCCGCTCGACGGCACGCGCAAGGGCAGCGCTTCCGCACCGAGCCAGCCACGACGGAGTTTCGCGCCCTGGGCCCCGCCGTCCCGCCCTTGGCAGCGCCTCACCAGTCATGGAGGCGGCTCTGGAATGGCCCCGCCTCTGGAAGGCTCCATTGCGCACCGACAGGGAGAACTGAAGGGCTGCCCAGGGAGGTCCAGACAGGGCTTCTCTCGGAGTACCCCTTCGTGCAGATGGTTTGCTCCCGTGGTGTACCGCGCTTTCGCAGGAAATCTGCGGACTCCCACCAGGCCAAGTGACGTGGGCTCATCTTCACGGTGGCGGCGCCCAGGGAGAACACGCTTCTTTAGCTCTTAGGCGTTTTCCGTTCTAACGATATCCCTAGTGCTTTTCCACTCATTTCATCACAAATGTTAGATCCCGACCCAAGCCCTGGCTTGTCTTTTTCTGCCTCGGGTACCTACCTAGTCAACTTCAAGTTACCAACTCTCACTCATTTCAGGTCAAAACGTTGGATTCCAGTTTCTCTTTAAGCGTCCACATACGCATCCTAAGTGTACTGTGTGCAACACACTAAAAAAACCCGCCACTATCTTAATTCACGGGTGAAAGGCAGTTCCTACGTTTAGGACCCACCGCGACGGCCTCATGGAAGGTTCCCGCCGTCGCGAACACCACCCTCCGCCAGGCCCGCCCCGAGCCCCGCCCGCCCCCGCCCCCGCCCCCCCGCCAGGCCCGCCCCATGCGCGTGGCATATCGGGACCTGGCGGCTGTGCGCCGACGCGTGAGGTCTAGCAGCCATGGCGGATTCCGGGTCGGCGGTGTCGCGCTCTCTGCTGCAGCTGCAGGAGGCCTTGTCTGCAGCGGATCGCTGCAGCGCGGCGGTGGCCAGTCATCAGCTGATTCGGGGGCTGGGGCAGGAGTGCGTGCTGAGCGCGAGCCCGGCGGTGCTGGGTGGGTACGGCCTGCGGCCCCACAGCCCGCTTCCCCCGCCGCGGGATGGAGCGCTACGTTCGTAGCCAGCCAGTGACTGTGGGCCGCCAGCGTTCTGTGGATGTGTGTTAAAGTGACTTGCTATACTGCTTTCTTTCCTAGCAGGGAAAAGGTGTTTCAAAACCAGGGTTGGTGAAAGTCCCCCAGTCTGGCAATTGGCTGTGCAGAGTCGGGGGACAGAACAAGAGGAAAGTTTACTTTCGCTTTAATCTAGCCTAAAAAAAAAACTTTTTCCAGACTCTTGTATGTGCTGGCCTGCTTTTCAGAAGCATTGCGCAAATACAAATGAAAAGGCATTCTGTTCTTTTAACTTTTTAAGCAATGCCTGGATGAGAACATTTCTCTATGCAAAAGTGCCTCTTTTAAGCACTTTTAAAATATTTTGCGTGAGAATTTCTGACGATGCTGTATGGTACCTCTATGTTGTCAACGCTGTATTAATGGGAAATTTAAAAATTAACATGCTTTCTAGTCTCAGAATTAGTAAACTAGAAGTCTTTTTGTTTTTTTACTGATTTCTTCATAAAGCAGTTCCAAGTTTACTTTTAATATTCAGTGTATGTCTCTTCTTTAGGTTATAGAGTGACTTACTAGTTTTCTTTTGCTGCTGTAGTAAATACTGTAAACTTGGTTTAAAACAACACGTTTGTTAATCTTACAGTTCTGTAGCCTGAAAGCCCAACACCGGTCTCATCAAGTTGAAACCTAGGTATCAGGCAAGGCCATTTCCTATCTGAAGGCTTCAGGGGAAAATTCATTTTTATTCAGGTTAGAATTCCTTGGAGCTGTGGGACTGAGGCCCCTTTTCGGTGCTGGTGTTCCTGCCCACGTTTCTTGGATTATAGTCCCCTCCTCCATCCTCAAAGCCACTAACACTCCCACCCCCCAACTATCGGTCATTAACTAGCATTCCTGCTTGAAATTTTCCTCCTGATCCACTGGTAAGGGCCTTTGTGATTATATTGAACCCACAGGTAATGAAGGATAATCTCCCCATTTTAAGGTCAGCTGATTAACAACCGTAATTCCATTTGCAACCGTAATTTCCTGTAAAGGTAGCATATTCACAGGTGTGAGACGTTGGGGATTAGGGCTCTAGCATCTCCGGGGGGCCATTCTACCTCCTGCATCCTTGTGGAACATTGCCTGATTTCCTTGTCGGTATAGCAGCTTTAGGCTAGTGTTTTACTGCTTATGAGGATGCAGCACATTGCCCTTTGGGGGCAGTTTATGTAGTGCTTCTTGGCAGCGCTCTTAACACTTTTTCTTTTTTTTTTTGTCCAGCGTTACAGACTTCCTTAATTTTTTCCAAAGATTTCGGTTTGCTTGTATTTGTTCAGAAATCACTTAGCATTGATGAAGTAAGTTGAAAATTTTCATTTTTCTTTCCCTGTATAATTCCTTTATGTTAGAGTGATTCTTATTCTTACCCATATATTTACTATAGTGTTTATTTTTTTTCATATAGTTCCGTGATTGTAGAGAAGAAGTCCTAAAATTTTTATGTATTTTCTTAGAAAAACTTGGTCAGAAGATCACACCTTATTCTCTTGACATTAAGGTAAGGAGGAAAAAAATATACCTCTTTATACCAACATCCATTTTAATTTATGGTGTTAAACTTGGATTTTTAAAATTTCCACCTTATTTGGAAGTTTATTTCTGTTTGATTGTGTTAAGAGATGAAGTGGGCTATTCAATTTTTTACTTTTTTAGTTTTAATAAGCTAAGGCTCTTATCAGCTATTTTGATAGCTTTCTGCACACAGGATAAATAATACCTTTTGTAGGAAGTCATACTCTTTGGAATTGTGGGGAGATTTCAGAATACTTTAGAAAGCAGTTTTGACAAGCTCTCCCATTCGGTAAGAATTCATATTTCCTGCAGTTCATGGGCTCTCTGACCACAGTCTGAAAAGTGTGCCTTTCTTGTGCCCATCCTCCTCCACCCTGCCTTACCTGGTGCTTCATAACTTACTATGGAACTAGCAATCGTAAATAAAAGTTGTTCTTCCTCATAACACTCTCAACAAGTGCCACATTCTAAGTGAGTTGTTTTAATTGGTCCTAAATTTGCTCCTAGTTCTGGGATGCTAAGAGTTGATGAAGATGTATGTTTTCAACCTGAGGTAACTTTTAAGAGGTTAATTTACAAATTATAACTAGCTCTAATATATAAGCTATTTTTAATAATGGTCAGTCTTTTTTATATAGGTTTTTATTTTATTTTCTTTTGACTTCTAGTCGTTTTGGATTGGAATCTTAATATTTAAAAAAATTGTCTCAATGGTAGGAGTAGTTAACATTTGCATAGTGGTTCATAACAAAGTTCTTTGATGTACAGTTTATCTGGTTTTTGCCAAGACTGTGAGATAGTAGTCTTACTCTCTCTAACTTGCAAATGAGACTTAGAAGTTAAGAAACTCACCCAAATCTTGGAGCCAGGCTGCCTACTTATGGAGGGCTGCTTCTGTCATCACACTGTGGTTCCTCTGGGCTCCCAACTGTTCTCTGAATAGCCTTGGTTACCTTTTTAAAAAAATTTTTTTAAGTATCATTGATATATAATCGTATATGAGTTTCAGATATACAGCACAGTGGTTCAACAGTTACCCATATTATTAAATTCTCAGCCCTTCGAGTGCAGTTACTATCTGTCAACATAGATGTTTCAGAACCAGTTGACTATATTCTCCATGCTGTACTACTCTCCCTGTGACCAACTTACATGATTGAGAATTTTTGTGTCCCTTTATCCCCCCTCACTCCCCCATGGTAGCCACTAGTCACTTCTCAGTGTCTGAATCTACTGCTGTTTTGTTTATTCTGTTCGGCTTTGTTTTTATATTCCACAATAAGTGAAATGATACGGTATTTGTCTTTCTCTGCCTGTCTTATTTCACTTAGCATAATACCCTGTAGGTCCTTCCATGTTTGCAAAAGGCAGAATTTCTTTTCTTTTTATGGTTGAATAATACTCCATTGTGTATATATACCACATATCCTTTATCCATTCATCTGTTGATGGACAGTTAGGTTGCTTCCATACCTTGGCTGTTTTAAATACTGCAGCAGGAAACATAGGGGTGCATATATCTTTTCAAATCAGGGATTTTGTTTTCTTTGGTAAATTCCTAGAAGTGGAATTAACTAGGTTGAATGTACCATGAGAACACGGCAGTTGTACCAGTTGACATTCCCACCAACAGTGTAGGAGGGTTCCCTTTTCTCCGCATCCTTGCGAACACTTGTTAATTTATTGTCTTTTGGGTAATGGCCATTCTGACAGGTTTGAGGTGATATCTCATTGTGGTTTTGATTTGCATTTCCCTGATGATTAGTGACATAGAGCATCTTTTCATGTGCCTGTTGGCCATCTGTATGTCATCTTTGGAGAAATGTCTGTTCAGGTCCGCCGCCCATTCTTTAACTGGGTTATTTGTGTGTTTTTTTTGGTGTTGAGGCATAAAAGCTCATATATTTTGGATGTTAACCCCTTGTTGGTTATGTCATTTAGGAATATATTCTCTCATACTATAGGTTGCCTTTTTGTTCTGCCGATGGTGTCCTTTGCTGTACAGAAGCTTTTTAGTTTGATATAGTACCACTTGTCCCTTTTTTATGTTGTTTTCCTTACCTAATGATATGTCTCTAGCAAAAAATCGCTCATACTTATGAGATTTTTGAGATTTTTGCCTGTGTTTTCTTTGCCTTAGTTACCTTTTTATTCTTCATTCTTTCTTTTTTGATGTAAGGCAATAAGTGCTATGGGAAGTATATAAGGAAGAGTAACTTTTTAAAAAATCCTGCTGAGCTCTCCATTTATTTTGTGTTTTTGTGGTTATTGTTATTACCATAGTGTATTGCAACAATGTTTTCAGTAATGTTTAATCTGTCCATCACATATTCTAATATTATACTTTTAACAGCTAAATGTTAACTTGTGGTCTGTCATATATCAGTCTTGCTTCTTTCAGAGATGTAGTTTTAGCTATTGTTA